TAGCGTCACTGCTGTCTCTCCCTCCCTCCCTCCCTCCCACACTGCTTTGGAGCTGATTGAACAGCACTAAAGTGCGCTGAAATGCGTGGCCCCAACTTTCCTGCCCTTCCTGGGCTTTTCTAGCATTTTAAGCAGTGTGAGGATTTTTTCTATCTTGGCGATGGACTTTTGGCAACTCTGTGCTGGGTGCTTCGAATGGGGCAGCAGCCGGCTCCCCCCACTCATTCGGCTGTCCTTTCTGTCTTGGCCTGTAGGACTTCCTTCGGTGTGTCAGCGCAGCCATTGTCTTCATCGTTGTGGCCTTCGCTGTCATCGCGGCCAGTCACGACGGCTCAGCTGTGTCGGCCTTTGTGAGTGACTGCCGTGCTTGTCGATTCCTGGTTTTAGGAGTTTGACTCCCAGAATTCCCCAGCCACCATCTGGGGAATTCTGGGAGATGTTATTCCAAACATCTGATCTGCCCACAGGGAGGGTCGAAAAGTTCCATTTGGTGGCAACCAAAGCCCCGCCCCTTCTACATGTGCTGCATATGTAGAATACATGTAAAAAAGGGGGCGGAGCTTGCCTCCAACAGCCACCATCTTGATTTTTTTAACCTTTTCCATGCCAGCCCGGGAATCCACTGCCATGTAATTTTTTTTCCCGTGGGAAATCTAAGAGGATTCACATGCAGTGGGAGTTAAATGCCCATGAACAGCTGGTTTGAAAGAAAATTTTGTCTGAATCTGAGAGCCCTTCAGACCCCCAGGCCTTGTTTCTGTTTCTTGCCAGGTTTTCAGCCTTATTCTGATTGGGATTTTCTGCTTGGATGCCTACAATACCTACCGGGCGGAGATGGGATCTGACCCAGGTGAGCAGAACAAATTAGCTTGTAGAATTCTTGCTAATTCTGCGGTCGCTGGCTGAGGTAGCAGGACGGAGCTGGGCTTGAAAAAAGCCAAGCCAGGCTGAGCGCTGGGATGGGAGACCACCAGGAGATGTCCGGACCGCGGGCTGCGCTGGGAAGTTGGAGCAGTGGAGCAGAAGCCGTGGAGGCAAGCCAAGAGGGATGCGTGGGTTTGTCCTTGAAATCCCCAAGTTTTGAATGAGATCGGTTTGGTAAAAAGTAGGGTGTAGATTAGAGTCCTTGCGAAACGGATGAGCAAACAGGTGCCTTGTGGCTCAAAGAGGCATCTGACGAATCTGATGACTGATTTACTGGAAAACTGGAACAATGATTTAATCCTGGCTGCGCGACAGGGAAAGAACGAGAGGGAGGCGTTTGCAGAAGGTGCAGCTGCCTTGATCAATATTTAATAGTCATAAGTATCAATAAAAATTGATGCTCTGTCATCCTCTAACGCTGTTTCTCAATCGCTGCCACTTTAAGAGGTGTGGACTTCAACTCCCAGAATTCCCCAGCCAGCATGGCTGGCTGGG